TTCAAAAAAAAAAAAAAAAAAACACTCTTGTACTCCTTAGTGTAAACAAAGAAATCCAAAATGAAGAGGAACGGTGGTCCTACTTAGCCCCCCAAAAGAAAAGAAAAGAAAAAAAAAAACATCTCTTGTACTACTGATAGTAAACGAAGAAATCCAACGTGAAGAAACCCAAAGTGAAGAGACAGCGGTCCTATCCATGTTGATGGTGACAGGATGTTTGTTGAGAGAAGTAGTGTTTGTAATTTGTGGTCTGTACTCCGGGTCCAGCCTGGGCTTGATTTGGTACGGACGAGTGTGTAAAGGGACAGGGCTCTGAGCTCCTGGTGGAGCAGGACAACCCGACTGTCCCTTGGGATTACTTCTTGTTCTTGTATTCGGCGCTGGGCACTGGGACCTTATAATAAAGACTACAGCCTGATCGCAGTGGCGCCGCGGAAGTGCGGTGGGCCCATAACCCACAGATCTCAGGATCAAAACCTCCCTCCGATAATAAAGACTACTCTTCAAGGGGGGAGGGGGGGGGGAAGGGGGAACAAGAGCGAAAAAAAAAGAAAGAGAAACTCCCTCATACTCAACGAAGTCTTTTACCAAAGAGTCTAGCTCAGGGCATACCCACACTAGCATGTAAAATTGCAAAATCGCAAAATTTGTGCAACTTTTACGGTCACACGTTCGCCATCCCGTATTTTGCAAATTCAAGTATCTGCGTACATATGCGTGCGTTTAAGTCAGCGGCCTGCCTGGGGGGCCGTGGGCATACGTATTTTGCAGGCACCTCCGGAGGTGCCCTCTCTGTGCTTTCTTTCCGAATTCACCATAAAACTTTTGTGTCTGGCACCATGTGACTGCGCGGGCGTACATTCACATTTGGAGGACTACCTTCTTCCCCTGAATACAACATATAGTCATTATAGCTGTATTTAGACTGAAAGATACCCCAAATTCAGCTATAATGACCGTACCTTGGGGTGGGTGGGTGGGTGGGTGGGTGCATGTGTGTGTTGTCATATCCGCTATACACTCAAAAAAAGCATGACTGTGCCAGACTGTTTTGTGTGTGCGTGTGTGTGTGTGTGTGTGTGTGTGTGTGTGTGTGTGTGTGTGTGTGTGTGTGTGTGTNGTGTGTGTGTGTGTGTGTGTGTGTGTGTGTGTGTGTGTGTGTGTGTGTGTGTGTGTGTTTGGGGTTGTGTGTGGTGGGTGGTGAGTGAGTGCTGGTCATAGACACTGCTGCTACTCGCTGGAGGCGGGGGAAGTTGAGGGGAGGCGCAGCCACTGGAAAAATGCTCTTTACATTTAGCCGGCTTCGCCCATCGGCTGCCCCGCCCTACTCCCTGACCACCGCCGATTAGCGGGAAAAAAAAAGGGAAAAAAAAAGGGCGGGGGGAAACATGCATGCCTTTGATTGTGAGAGCTAGCTATGCTTGCAGGGGTCCCCTGTATAGGCTTAGGAGTACTGGTAGGTAGGTAGTGAGAGGTGAAATTGAGAGAAGAAAAAAAAAAGGAAAATTTGCATTATACCCCTCAAAGTTGAGATAAATGTCAAAATGCCCCTAAAAGATGTGGGTAGAGCCGAATGCCCTTTTGGCCTGAATTCCTTGTGATATGGCCCTGTCAGGCCTGGGTGCAAATTTGCAATCTGCACCTCTCCGTTGGGGCCTGGGCCGGCAAACTGTTTTACCCAGTTTGCCCTCCCTATGCCACCCAGTCCGTAACAGTGGCTCATGGTTGGCCGCCTCACACTTTTCTTTTTCTTTTTTTTCTTTTTGGAAAGAGCCAGCGACCTCTACTAGAGGGGGTGATATGAGCAGCCACCTCTAGTAACTGTCCCTGGTCGCTCCATCTATTGGTGGGGAGCTGCACCTGCTGGAAAACGGGTCCAGCATCCCTGTACAAGAGAACATTCATGAACATACATGAGAGTATCCTGCCAGCATTGATTACCCCAGGTTACCCAGGGGGATTGACTGAGCGGTAGGAAAAGCTGTGGTGATAGAGGTGCCTCTTCACCCCTCAAACGGGGCGCCTCTTCTAGCCTAGCATATCTAGCATCTTCCATCACCATGCATGTATGATTAGAGCTTCTTGCAAGAGTGCAAACAGATCAGTGAAGCTTAAGCCACCAGAGCTTCTAGCCTAAGAACGTGGAGGTACTGGTGGTTTAAGATCCTTGCTGCTAGCTACTTCCCGCCTCTTCAGTTACCTCTTGGCGACCACCTGAGCTTGTGAAATCTTCTGAAGTCTTTGCAGGCTCTGAACGGCTTGAGGATGTATGGCTACCAACCTCCGGGGGCCACCGGGGGGGGGCAGGCCTGTTCCAATGGCTCACCACATAATCAGGTACGGATTTCCACAAGGGAAAATGGGTGAGGAGGCAAAGGATCTGGGAAGTGCAACGGGGGTGGGTTCGTCTCCTTCCTGGTAAGTTCCTCCATCTCCGACCTCCTCCTCCCTTGACATTCCTCCAAGGTCTCTTCCCCGCGTGTGTGTGTTTGCATGCGTGTGTGTGTTTGTGTGTGTGTGTGTGTGTGTGTGTGTGTGTGTGTGTGTGTGTGTGTGTGTGAGAGAGAGAGAGAGAGAGAGAGAGAGAGAGA